AATAAAGCCCTCTGGGTGAAACCTCGTATATAAAGAAAGGTTTCACCCACTGCGGCGCTTTATAAAGCGCTAAATTCGTAAGGGAGCATCCAGTACCTTGAGGCGTATTAGGCAATCAAATTTGTTCCGAGGAATGGGAAGAGTAGCGCCAGTTGCTTGGATCACGAGTCATAGTGAAGAATGAATGTAATTGGGTCGCAGGAGAGAGCGACACGACCTCCAATTTTCCTCAACTTTTGCGGTCTTGTATAAGACGACGTTTCGTCCTCTATTTTAGGGCGGAATGTAGCCCTAAATTTATCGGTTCCTTGCCATGCACTACATTTCGACCGGCTGATACGAGGTACATTTGTCATTTCCACTATGTCATTGTTCAGTTCATTCTTTAACACTCTTGTGTTGTGCTGACGTTCCTGTGCCACATTGTCGTGTGTAATTTCCAGCTAGGCTCCCCGCTCTTGATTTGTCTCTGATAAAGAGCATATCCATATTTATCCTGTCTATGCCAAGGAGCATTTTGTAGGTCCCGATCATATCTTCTTTTTTCTTAGCCATAAAAAAACAGGAGGCCTAACTAATGAGTTTTATTTATTTCCTTGAGCTCATTTAATTTAATGTGTGTGTGTGTGTGTGTGTGTGTATACTCACCTAATTGTACTCACCTAATTGTGGTTGCAAGGGTCGATACTGAGCTCCTGGCCCCGCCTCTTCACCGAGTGCTACTAGGTGTGTGTGTGGAAGGGGGGTACAATATGCAAATAAGTTACTGGTGGCAGGTAGGTCAACTCACATCAGTCCAGCTGAAAATGCCATATGACTTTATACACTTATACTTTTCTTGGTCTGATAATACTGTAGTGTGTATTGGTTGTAAGAAGGTGAGAACAAAAATACACGCTCAGTTGATTTTAGGTGATGATTTGCGCCCAGGAGCTATAGCTGAACCTGACCGACAGCTGGGCGAGTAAACCTTTCCTCTCCTTCCCCCCCCCCCCACCTTTGTCTGTACCTCAACAGCTCATCATTATCTTATATCATCTGCATAAGAAAAAAAAAGTCCGGTCACGCTCGTGCATTGCGTTGGTGGTAGTGTTACATGGTGGTGTTGAAGAGGAAATTGTGTTGTAAGCTGGTGGGAGTAGTGACTGTATGGAGTGGTAGCAGGTGACTGAGGGGTGATAATGTGTGACTGTAGAGGTGGGGTTGTAGTGGGTGACTGTGGGGTTGGTGTGGTAGTGGGAGATTATGAGGGTGGTGTGGTGGTGAGTGTCTGGGGGGGGGGGTAATAGGTGATTTTTGAGTAGTTGGGGATATCGTAAGTGTAAAAAATAAGTGATGGTAATGGGCGACAATGGGAGGAGTGATTGTGGGTACCTATAGGGAAGGTTGAAGTGCCAAATTCATATATAGTTGCTTAGGTAAAAATGAAAGCTACAATAACGGGATAACGAGGTCTAGCACTGGGCAACCAATAACGTTAAACATCAGCTGTGACAAATTCCAAATGCGTCGATGCAGAACAAATTAGGAACCCCAGACGAGTGTAGAATTTCTAGATGCTCCCAGAGAACAAAAGGAATAACAGTGTTAAATTACATACTAATATATATACACCCAACAAACGTAGCCTCGTCCAGGGAAGTGATAAGAGGGTATTCAAACCTTTAAAATATGGGATGTACGATTGATAATATTTTATAAAGTACCTGTGTTCTCTTAGGTAGACTACTGTTTTCTGCTAACATTGCTTATATGAACTAGATTACTTATGACCCAGAACATTGTAATGTGTATGACTAATACCGTTTGTTTGCTGATACACGCTAATACAGTGCAATATAGGAAACTATCAGTAATAAAGTTGGTCTTATCTTTTTATCTACAGTTCAACTTTCTTTTTTACCAACATTTAATCAGAAAGAACATTTGTAGTGTGTTCGTCGGACTTGCTAAGCATGGGCCAACAAACCCACATTATTCTTACCATCCAAGGTTCACTGACTCCACTGTGAATTCCTGCCATTCTCTACGGTGCTGTATGATCCCCTATGGGTTTAGCGCTCCTCCATGAATATAATAATAATAATAATAATAATAATAATAATAATAATAATAATAATAATAATAATAATAATAAACGATAAACAATAGGCAATGACAAGCAAACTTCACGGAGAAAAATATAACCTGGTAGTAGGCTTTCAGAGATAGGCCGAAATATACACTAATCTTCGGGGTGGGGGTGGGGGGGAGACCATGTACTGGTACATTAATACCAACAGACTGTGAGGCAAAGACACATGTGTCTTGCCCCGTTTCCTGACAAATCTTATCAACCAACCAAAACATATGTAACGTGTGTCAATCCATACTGAAAATGCCTTCTGTTTGATATTATCAATGGAAGGACGGTGGTTGGGTGCTTAATGTTTCTCACATAGTTCGATGCCCTCACTATAATACCCAGGATGTGGTTCAAGAATGTATCATAACCTGCTACCAGCTGATATCAGAAACATTGCCGGAACAAATATAATAGTTTTTAGATGGAAACTGGATAACTGCCTTTACCAAGTGCCAGGACAACTTCAGTGGGCCCAAAAGCCCTCAAGCCAAATTAACCTGTTTTTGGGAAAAAAACAGCCCGGGGGAAATGACCAAAGGCTGGCTGGTGGGGTTGAAAAACCCCCGAAAACCCGGTTAAGGGATGGTAAGTTTTATTTATCTGTGTGGATTCTTTTGTTTTTGTTGGACCCAAAGGTGTTAAACCAGGCAGTAGGGGGGACCGGTCTGCGAACAAGCTTTTTATTTTGGGCAACTTTTTATTTTTGTAGAGTTTTTTAAATCAAAAAATCCACATGGAGTGAAATGCTTCATAAAAAGCTTGTTTGCATCGGTGTTTTTCACTGTGTTAAATTATGTTATTTTCTGAGCCCCTACCGTTCCCAATATGCACCCAGTTTAAAAACACCATTCTGAAGGGTTAATCATTCCGGAATCTTACCAGGATTATTCCCCAAATTGAATTTTTGCCCAGGGTGTGTGTAAGACAATTAGATTTTTTTTATTTCCTCGGGATTAAGGTCTAGGGGAATGGGAGTAGGACAAAGGTGGTTGGGGGTGGTAAAGCGTGGGGGTCCGTCGCGATGCAACTGCAGAGCTGTCTGTCCTTAATTTATCCCATCACAAACTTGTTATATAACTGATACGGTAAACTAGGGACGAAATTTTCGAGGTTTAGATCTTTCTTATTAAATATAAAATGTTTGGGGAAACCCCTTTCCCTCCTCCGTCAGACTTTCCCTTTTTAAAGTGGTGGAGCTTTGGGGGTCAAACCAAAGACACCGGATTAAAACCTGGGGAGGAAAAGAATACAGACAAGTTCCTTAAGATAACTGCTCCCCCTGTTCACTCAGTAGATAGGTCCCTGGGTTGAAGGGGGTTTAGTGCCCCTTACGTATATAGAGTAGGAAATGGTATACTGTATACGTTTGTGTGTGTATACCCCAAAATTTAATTTTTTCGGTTTATTGTTTTCAATTGATAAAATCCCGGTGGGGGCGAAAAAACAATAAAATTCCATGTAGCTCATTTGTTTTTTCAACCCCTTTGATTGTGTGGATTTGTAATGAACTTAGGTAGGATGGCAAACTTCAGCCTGTAAAATTTTAATTTGCAAAAAAAAAAGAGTTTGATTTACCCCTTTTAAAAAAAAAATTTAAAAATCCCCAAAGTGATTATAAGCCATACTGTTGCCTTTTTTTAAAAATTAAATGTTATTATTGCTTATACCCCAATATTGATTTTTTTTTAATTAAGCATAACCGGGGGGACTTAGATTTATTTAAAGACTTTTTTCAAACAAGCAGAATTGTATTAGTTTCTGTGGTAACTCAGTGTTAACCCCAAGACATTAATATATATGATGATACATATTAGTAACTGAAGGATCGACACCATGCCCAGCCCTTCGAGGGTAGGGTAGGTGCCTGACCCAGAGCTTGTAGCTCACAAGACTGTCACATCCCCTTGGGGCGGGGATGGCAGAACAGAGAGGCCTAGCTTCTCCCTACGAGCCCCGTGAGGGCAGGGAATGTGGCTAGGCCTGGGGACAGTTGGTCCCAACGATGAGGAGGTACTTGTGCCTCCTCCCATGGCAGACTTAGGTCTCAGACGCTCCCTAGATAGGGAGCCAAGGCCGGGCCACCATTTGGAAAACGCCCGGGCCGGGAGAATACCGGCGAATCTAAAAAAAAATAAAAATTAAAAAAGTAACTGAGTTACATATCCAACCATTCTCATGTATCTGTTCAACCCGCCCAGAACTTACCTGGGGCCAATCGAAACGTTTAAAATTTCCTCTCCAGTGTGAGGTATTTGCTAATTGTTGCAGATGTAGTATTGCCATTTTTTTACCCAAAGGATTTGCTTCAGTGATACTCATCTGCTCTTACAAAACCAGCGTTTTTCTGTATGCTTTCAGTATCTGAATTTATTAAACTGTATGTACTGTGTTCCTATATTTTAAGATCTTATAGATGTTATATGTTGCTTGTGGTAGTGAAGGCGACAGGTGGAAGGCAATGTGTAAATGTTAATATGGAGATGGGCATGTCAAAATCACATTTATCACTAATTCCGGTGATAAAATACTGTGTTTATAACATTTTATGGGAGCGTTAACTTAATTAATGAAGACTGGACATAAATCAGGTGTTGGGAGGGTCAGTAACCGGCAACACCGACGAAGTGACAGGTGATGCCTCTGAAGCAACGCTCATGACTGTGTACGGAGAGAGAGAGAAGACGGGAGTGAGTTTTACAACTCAGTAGCCGTGAGTTCAATTCCAATCCGTACCGTGGTTAGACTATGGTCATCTTTGTAAGACTGGAGAATGTATTCGCGGCCAAACTTTTCCTCCTTAAAATATCCTGACACTACACGTGTCATATTTCACAGGTGTGAGACATGTACTAACGGGTTCCTTTGCCTCCCCCAG